CAGCAGCATGCAGGGGGCCGCAGAAGGCAGGGGGCGCGTAGCAAGCAAAGGATCCAGCTTTTTGGCAGAAGCAGGAGTGCAGGTGTAGCAGAGTGCAAGGCACGGGCGTGCAGGGGCGCAGGCGTGCAGCAGCAGGGGCATGATTGTAGATGATGGCTGGTGCAGAGTGCAGGTGATCTGGTGCAGAGCAAGGGAGCTGATGCAGAGCAAGGCTGGTGCAGGAAGCAAGGCCGGGCGCAGGGGCTAGGGGCTTTGGTTCAGGAAACAAGGCTGGGGCGCAGGAGTTAGGGGTGCAGGGGGGTGGTTGGCTAGAGGTTGTTGATGATGATGAAGAAAGTTCCAGATCCCTTTTTGTTTTTTTTTTCGTTTATTTCCTTCTTTTTTTTTTTGGGTTTGTTTGGGTTAAATGGGTTTGGTATTTGGGCTTGGGTTTTGGGCTGATTTTTGTGGAATTGGGCCATTTAAGATGGGTTTAAGAAATGGGCTAGATTTATAACTTAGAGGATTTCACCACCCGACTTTTGATTTCTTCAATTGAGTCCCTTGTTCTTCAACTTCTCCCTTTTCCAATTTTCTTTGCAAAAATGTCCATTATTGCTCATAAACCTAACAATTAAAACAAAGACAAAATACAATAGTTAGAAAATAAAGTTTTACTAAAATTTGAGTTATGATAGTTGTCCCTCTTTTCTTTTCTTTTTGTTAAGAATGAAAATAAAAAACAAGAATAACTCAAATTTTTCTCTTTTCTTTTTTTTTACTATTAAGTAACTAATCAAGTAAAAAATGACCAAACAAATGAATTAAAAACGGTTAAGAAACAGCAATGATTGGATTGACCAAACGAGTGAGATAAAACGGCCAAAGAGCCGTAACGATCGGATTGACCGAACAAGTGAGATAAAACGGTTAAGAAACCACAACAATCGGATTAACCAAACGAATGAGATAAAACGACTAAAAAGCCGCAACAATCGAATTGATGGAATGAATAAGATAAAACGACTAAAAAGCCGCAACGATTGGATTGATCGAACAACTAAGACAAAATGGCTAAAAGCCACAACGATCGGATTGACCAAACGAGTGAGATAAAACAGTTAAAAAGCCGCAACGATCGGATTAACCAAACGAGTGAGATAAGATGGTTAAGAAACCGCAACAATCAGATTAACTGAACAAATGAGATAAAAGAGCTAAAAAGCCGTAATGATCGGATTGACCGATCGAATGAGATAAAATCGCTAAAAAGCCGTAACGATCGGATTGACCGAACGAATGAGATAAAATCACTAAAAAGCCGTAACGATCGGATTGACCGAACGAATGAGATAAAATCACTAAAAAGCCGTAACGATCGGATTGACCGAACGAATGAGATAAAACGGCTAAGAAACCGCAATAATCAGATTGACCGAATGAATGAGATAAAAACGGTTAAGAAACCGCAATGGTCGAATGACTGAAAAAGTAGAGTATCTGGGTCTAATGAGTGTAAAATGTAATTAAAAGGCTAGATGAAAGCAATGATTAAAAAATCCGCAGCCATGAAACATATGCAAGTGAAACAATCTTCATATATAAGAAGGTAGAAATGAAAGGAGGTTAAGAAACTTCCCTGAACATGTTGGATGTCCTTACTCAGCAAGAGTCAAGTGTCCTCTGTGTTGTGCATTCATTGATAGGCTCGATGACATGTTTTGCATAAAGTTCAATGACTTTAAAGCATCTCTAGTTTACTGGGGAAAATTCTCGAATCATTGCAAAAGAGAATAAGTACCATGACCATTGAATCAAGCTTTTGCTTATCTTTGCAACTTTCATTTTTTTTTTGTCAAGAGATTTCAACGATTATATTAATTGAAATAAAGCATCATAACCAATCAGCATCCCAATCTAAACAAGGAAAAGAAGGTCAAGGCATGGATAATATGTATGGATAGAAAGAGATAAGCATGATTTTTGAATTGCACAACTTTTGATGCACCAATTTTAACAAAGCTAGAAGGCATTCAGGCTATAAAGTATTTGCTTCAAGAATTTATTTCTTTGTAACTCCACCAATCCAGTCTTTAACATATGAAACAATGTCTATTTCCATGCCAAGGTGGACAAATCCAATCCATCTCCTTCCAATGAACTAACCTTCAATGTTTAGAAGACTGATCATAAATCATAAAGCTTTTAGCTATGCTAACTGACTTGGACTCACTAGAGAAAGGACTTTTTTTTTTTTTTTTTGACAGAGAAAGTTTCAAACCCTCAAATAAGGACTTTGCATAGGCTCGTAACATGGCTTAGGGTTAGGCTATTATGAAAGAAAGGAATAAAGGCTCAAAATCCATATATTTCCCTCACATTTCTCTCTTCACGACCCCGGGCATTGGTGTGGGTTAACAAGAAGAAAATCATCTTGGCTTTTTTGAACTTGGATGATTGCCTTTTCTAGCTCAAAAAGGGTAAGCAAAGGACAATGTTAACTATTTGAGATAGAGAAAGGAAGCCTTTCATCATTGGATCTTCAACTTTCGAAGTCAAGGAAACATTTAGTTTGTTAGGTCGCCATTTTCTTCTCCCTTTTCTTCTCTCTCTCTCTCTCTCTCTCTTTTTTTTTTAATAGAAAATTCATGATCAAACTAAGAGTTGTTAAATTCTTTGATAAGGACTTTTATTGGCTTGTGATGTGGCTTTGGGTTAAGTTATCAAAAAGAAGGATATGAAGGCTCAAAATCAATTTTTCCATAGGTATCTTTTCTTCTCTCTCTCTCTCTCTCTCTTTTTTTTTTTTATTGGAAAATTCATGATCAAACTAAGAGTTGTTAAATTCTTTGATAAGGACTTTTATTGGCTAGTAATGTGGCTTTGGGTTAAGTTATCAAAAAGAAGGATATGAAGGCTCAAAAATCCCTTTCTGTTGGTATTTCCCTTTCACAATCACTCTTCACTTCCCC